ATTATAAATTGACTGCCTGCGTGCGCACACACACACAAACATTCACACGCGTGTATATATATATATATATATATATATATATATATATATATATAACCATGATATTCTACCTGTACGCTCATGAACGCATGCAGGCGGGCAAGCGCGTACACACTTCAGCATACACACGCGCACATGCACACAGGCACACACATACACACACACAATGAAAGAAGAAATAACAACCTTACACAAATAAAAAAAGGAATTAATTAAATTAAACTCGATATAAAAATAACGAAAACTGGAAAATATGCAATCAAATGCTGCTACTTCCTGAGGAGTGGAGGGGGCGTTGCCAGAGTGTCCGTCTACAAAACTCTGAAGTTTATACTGAATATAACATCATTCAACTCTGTGAAAATGTTGTCTTAATTCTCTTTCTCTCTCTCCACACACACACACACACACACATACATATATATATATATATATATATATATATATATATATATATATAATAAACTGTTACATTGGAACATTCAAGTTAACACAACAAAAAATCATATTTGTTTCGATATCTAATTAGACACCTCATCAGGTTTTAACATTGGTGGTAATAAACAATTTTATTTAAATGTACAATTTATGAAATATCACTTCTTTTTACATTTTTAAAATTTTCCATAGAAGTCAAAGAAACAATATATAAAAATAAATTTTTATAAAAGGAAAAGAAAGAAAAAAGCAGATTAAAGTAAAAAAAATAAAGAGAATAAGAAATCAATAAAAAGAAATAGAAAGAGAAAAGAAAAGAAAGGCGTAAGAAAGTATATGAAACCACCCCTACTACAGAGAGAGAGAGGGGAAAAAAGAAAGAGGAAAAAAAGGAGAGCAGTATATTCAAATTTTACACATACAGGGGAAAAGGAAAGAGAAAAAATAAGATATGAGAAGTTGTTGATACCAGTTTTAGCCAATCAAGACACGTTAAGATGGAAAATTCAAAATTGAACGGAAATATAACACGACAAGAAAGAACATATTTTAGAAACACTGCAGCATTTCAAACTATTTGTATGAAATAACATATTTAAACAAAATTAAACATAGTATGTAAATAAAAGACCCTTTAAGAAGAAAAGCCATGTACAAACAAAACAACTACTTAACTATACCAACCTTACATTATAAATTAGAATACAAAATAAATTTTAAATATTTATATGACTTTTATATATTTATTTTAAAATAAAATCTATTATCAAACAACATCACAAGTAAAATAATTATAAGCCAATTCATGGCTAATCAGTAATTTACGAATACTAACCTATTTAATACCTTAATCTAGAATAAATCCCTAATGATAACATTAATTTTTTTCTATCAAGGTAATATAACATAAGAGGAATGATTATTGATTTATAAAGTTTAGCAAGATTTTAAGGTTAATTCCTTAATATGCCTGCAATTTACCGTAGTTTCATATCTCTGATTTAATAATTGATCTCTATTCAAGAGTTTAATTATCTGCATTTTCTCTTGTAGACAAAGAAAACACGGTTCGATCTACTAAAATTCTCAAAAAAGCCAAAATCTGTAGATATATTTAGCGTGGGGGGTTATTTCATAATACCCCAAAAATTAACCAAATATATTTTTAGGAAGAATGATGTTTTGGTTGGCCGCATTTCATACACACACATAGATTTAATAAATTCTGTCGATGTTTTATCTTCATTTTTAAGTACCTTTTCATTGACTGACCCACTATCAGTTTATCTCTCTCCCTCTCCCTCTCTCTCTCTCTCTCTCTCTCTCTCTCCATATATATTAAAATTAAATATATATACGTATAATATATCATTCAAATTATCGATATATGTGTGTGTGTGTGTGTGTGTGTGTGTGTGTGTGTGTGTGTGTGTGTGTGTGTGTGAAAATATATATAAAAATAAGAAAGAACACATTAGGTAAATAATCCGAAGTTCTTTAGTATTTTTGTTTTTATTTTTAAAAAACAGTGCTCCATACAGAAGTAGAGCTTAAATTATAATTATTTTTTTAAATATTTTGGACATCTAAAAATTTCGCTTGAGGATGGAACAGAGCTTGATACTTTAATTCAAATTAATTTTAATAATTAAATTGAAGTTTTTAGCTCCTGATTTTGAAATATGAGAACTGAGGAATCCTATTTTTAAAAAAATTATAATATATATATATATATATATATATATATATATATATATATATATTTATATATATATATATATAATATTAATGATCGACTTATCCAAGTTACGAATAATCCTTCTCCGACAAGAAGGAAATTCCGTCATAAATTGACCGAAGTACATTTTGGAAGAAAAGTACAGGAAATATAGTTCTAGGTTTCGACTTTCTTAAGTCATCATCAGGGTAGGTAGAGACAATTGGTGAGTTTAGTAACATTTTGAAACGGTGTAACAACGGTATTTTTTTAAAATCAGTTATTAGAATATGTGATAAAAGCACATGAAACATATTTTGGGATCTAAAGTCGTAGAACTAAGGTTTTATGACGTAGGCGCTGTGTGACGTGCCTTTATATATATATATATATACATATATACGACATTTGACGTATATATGTTGTCGGAATTTTGGGATATATTATTTTTAATAAATAAGTTTATAGTTTTGCATTTTTTGCAGTAAATAATAAATCTGATGTATTTATTTTTATCGACTCGTTTTATATATTTATGTAAGGTGTATTTTTTATTGTTGCTTCGTCTATTTCGCGATTGAGGTGCATATGATTTTGGAAATATATGTTATTTTTATATATATATATATATATATATATATATATATATGTATCCAGAGAAATGTCATACATATATAGCGAGAGAAAGAGAGAGAAATTGTGTGAGAGAGAGAGAGAGAAATAGAGACTTTCTTTATCACAACTCTTATCATTTCTTTCTTTTATATATTTGCTTCTCAGCACCTGAGTGCATCGATCTTCCACCCGCAAAATCTCCTCCCGCCCCACTTCTACAACAACCCCAACCAGCGTTCATCTATTATCAAGCAACTCTCACACTTCCTCCAACCTTCACTCACTCACTCTCTTTCTCTCTCTCTCTCTCTCTTTTCATCTTCTTCTCCCTGGCCCACTACCCTTCCCAATCCTCACCTGTGCCCTGAATGCCGCTATTTGAAGTGAATTTCGCAGTAACGACGGCCAAAAGGGGATTCTCTTTTGCCGGAAACCGAGCTTCGCTGTCAGTATAGCACTGTATTTGAAGTGAAACGAAGACTGCGTCCAAATTGGACGAGGTCCGAGCGACTGTGTTGCTTGGCCGTTTGCCTGATGCCCGGGTCCCCCTGGGGCAGCCGGCCAGAATTACTTAGGAGCCCACCCTTCAGCCCAGAGGGGGAGGATACTGACTCGTATGTGCAGATGACGAAAAGAGAAACGTAGCCTGGGGGTCTGCGTTGATGTCGAAAAGCAGTCGAGCGGGTGATATGAGAATGGAACGAGAAATGATACAAAGAGACGGAAAGATTAACGGTAAGATAGGCTGTGGATGGTAGTTGTGGTTGCCATGGCGGTACAGCACTCGCTTCTCATACTGGGCACAAAGACTTTGGGCTTAGGAACGAGTTGCAGTTACGATAGTAGCTTTAGTGCTATGGTAACTATTGATGTTTGTTTAGTCTGGAAATCCAGTAGTTTTCCAATTTCACAAGTTACTATAAAATTTTCGGATTTTTAAACTGCTATAAAAAAAAAAGTTTCCAATTTTTAGCTAACAATAAAATTATCCGGTTCTTGCTAAATCAAGCTTAATATAATCTTACTAGAATAAACTGCTCTTGCTACCATAATTAAAAATATTTTTGAAGCTATTTTCTTTTCTTTTTTCTGACTGATAAATTTTGGTAGAATTTCCATTTTTATTTTTGTTTACTTATTTTTTTTAATTATTAGTTGGTTGTTTTCTGTTTAGCGGCATATCAACACCTCTATGGGTTATTTAATGCTGAAATCTAAATATTTTGTACGTAATGTCATACTTTCAACTACAGATGTATTTTTATATTTTTGTGTTGCATTGTTTATCATTTTGCTATAAAATTATATTGTTGCACTTTTTTTTTAATAAAAATATACTGTTGATTTTTGTTTGGTGGTTCACTAATTGCCCATAGCTGGGACCCCAACCGGTGCTGCTACCCCGGGTCAGGGTGAACCTGGAAACAGCAGCAGTTAAGCTGTCGGATATAGTTTATCGTCATACCCAGGACAAATGACAGATTATATCGATGGATACTTGTGAATATATTTTCTATGTTTATAAACAGAGTGACAGATTAGTTGGTTGGCTGATATTGTTTAGCGTCATATCAACATCTCTATGGGTTATTTAATACCGAAATCTACGTAATTTTATGCTTTCAACTACAGATAATTTGTATATAATTTGATACTTTCAGGGTAAATGTATATATATATATATATATATATATATATATATATATATATATATATATATAAATGTATTGCTGGTAATTTTACTATAAAAATGTATTTTTAAATGTTTTTAGTGTCGCACTGATTGCCATTTTGCTATAAAATGTATTGTTCCTCATTTTATTATAAAATATGTACAGTTGATTTTTATTTGGAGATTCCCTATTTGCCGATAGCTGGGACCCTATCAGGTGCTACTACCTCGTGTAAGTGTGCACCGTGGAATAACAACTCATCAAAACCTCCAATCTCCTGATCAGAGGCCTTGCTGCCGGAAGTAGTTCATCGTTATACCCAGGACGATCCTAAATGTTTACCCAATAAAAGGCTCAAGAGCTACTTAAGGCAGAGGGTTACTAAATGAGGTTGTTGTATTGACGCTAAAATGAGGAAGTACGTGCATATTATGAGGATACGTACCATAAGTAATGATTAACTCTAGACTTGAAAAGATTTTAATGTTTTCGGAAACATCCTCTCAGGAATCTGTTCTATAAAGTGGCGCCTCTTCGGATTAAACTCTCCGAATGTAACTTTTTTGTTACCACTGAAATACGAATGAGATGAGGATTGTTCATCAATGTGTATATGGCATGGTATGTGTTATGGTCCAGTTCCTTGTACCACGGTGATAGTCCAAGTCAGAACCAATAAAGAAGAACTCGAACACAGGTATGGAATAACACAGATATATTACAAACAGGAATATATACAGAGAGGTAGAAGTGTTAGTATGAATAATCAGGTTTAGTAGAGAGAACAATGTAGTCTCGACCAGTATCACTATTCCATTGTCTTGTAGTCATTGTCTGAACGCGACTCTGTTTCGGACTGCCTCTGACTCGACTCTTGACCCGACTTGAACTACTGACGATATTCAGTCACCCCCCACGAGGGCGTCATGTGGCACAAGGCCTTTTTAACGTGGGTTCTCAGAGTTTCTGGATGTAGCGATAGAAAAGGAAAAAATAAGCCATCCCCCCCACCACAAGTATTTTGAACATGCCCTACAACATATGTTATAGACAATGAAAAATGTCTACAGTCATTTTCCTAAAAGTAAAATCCTCATTGGCAAATGTTTTAATGAGCTCCATCCTTTAGTTTCACAAGTTCAGAGTTTTACAATTAGAACACACCATGCTACATTCAGAGAGTCCAGTCAGCCACATTCCTTTCGTATTTCAATGGTAAAAAGGAAATTCGACTCTTCCCAAGAACCACTACTTTGTGGGAAAAAAACTCCCACATGGATGCTTTCCCAAACACTACAATATTACCCTCTTTAAGTCAAGTCTCAACTCTCAACTCTCTCTCTCTCTCTCTCTCTATCTATCTATCTATCTATCTATCTATCTATCTATATATATATATATATCAATATTACCCTGTTCAAGTCTAGTCCCAACCGTCTCGCTCTCTTTCTCTCTCTCTCTCTCTCTCTCTCTATATATATATATATATATATATATATATATATATATATATAATAGGATAAAGAACAAATCGTAAACATTTGATTTTTGTGTTGTTTGTTTTTCGTTGGTTAAGCAGACTTCACGTGTATTTGTCTTGTCAGGGAGCGTTTGTGTGTAAAAGCTTGTGCATTGTGCATTATAATTCTCGTTGTTTTTTGTTGATAATGTGTGCGCGTGTGTGCCCGCGTTCACGCGCGTGTGTGCGTTTAGTTGGCATGTTTATTTCTGTTCAGTAATGTCCGTATATTGACTAGGAGATATTTTGTGGAAGTAAAAGAATTTAGGTGACACCGGTTGTGGTTGTAGCTAAACTGATCGTAGATTCATAAATATATATATATATATATATATATATATATATATATATATGTGTGTGTGTGTGTGTGTGTGTGTGTGTGTGTGTTTATGAGTGCGTGTGTGCACACGTTTACGGCTCGCTTTATCCTTTCTCATGTAACAGTGTGTCCCAGTCTCTCACCGTTTACATTTGATTGCTGTCTTTCGTTCTAATTCTCAGAAAACGATTCTAAAACTAACGCCTAAAATCTTGATACTGTCATCCATTGATACGTTTCAAAAAGTAAATTCACTCTCAATTATCAGTTGAAATGTTTTATGATAACAACCGATATTCGGAAGGAAGATGAAATGAATCAGAAAATAATATTTATTTCCTTATGCCTGTTTTTCAATTCCTGAAGACAAATTATAACTAAGTATTCAGAAAAGCTAACAAACACTTCTTCCATTGAACATTGTGAATAAAACAACCAAGATGAGGATAGCAGTTTGAAGAAATCAAGTTGTAACCATGATACATTTTCATTTTAAAAAAAATAAAATAAATTTATAATTCAACGATTTTTTCGCAGTTGCCTCCACGTCTTTTTCCTTTATTTCACAACATTTTGGCCGATGTACTCTTCGACCTTAGTTTGTTACCTGATTTTTATTTATTTTTCTTTTTAATCATTTCACCTCGATCAACGCGATAATTGCACTAAGATGCAAGGGCTACTGGGAGTAAAAGAGAATGAGAAGACCTTAGAAAAGACCGGAAACTCAATCATAAACAGGAAACAAGAGATAAAGGTGCGTTAACACAAAATAAAATTATTTTTCGTACCTGATTGTAAATAACTGAGAAATCTATTTGAAAACTATGAATATTAATAGAAAGGATAATGATGGAAACTAAATTCTATGTCTTTCGAAAAAGCTACCCAGAACCATCTGGAAGATGTAAAATGTGACTGCATATTAAACAGGATGAAAAATGAATTCTCTAAATGCAAATCTGTATTAAAATGATGGATAATCCTCCAATTTTATTTTTAAAAATGGCCCCTTATTTTATTTAAGAAAGAAAGGAAAATGGAAATCGTAAGTGTTCCCATATGTTCTGCTTGATTTTCGCTTGTTTAATTTTCTATTGAATCTAAGTGCCATCCTAACTCTTTCTTTAATCAATTCACCAAAGTTCTTTCGGGGGAAAGGAAATCGCGTTTTCTTTCTTTTTTTTTTTTCAACCAAAAACAAAGAAGAAAGGAGAACTTTGTTTTACTTTAGAAATAATAAATATTTTTGAAAAAATGTTCTATCTGAATTTTTCGACTTACAAGTTATCATTATATACTATTATATATATATATATATATATATATATATATATATATACACATATATATATATATATATATATATATATATATATATATATATATATATATACATATATATATATAAAAGAAATATAGTCTTAAGGTATGCTATATTTATGGAATAAAGTGCTCAATATCAGAGATAGAGCGTGTAAATATATAAAAGTGAACATAGAAGTCAACACTTAGAGGCGACAGTATGTTCAGTTTTTATATATATATATATATATATATATATATATATATATATATATATATATATACTATTATATATATATTATTATATATATATTACTAATATATACAATTATATATATTATATTATATACTCTTATATATATACTATTATATATATATATATTACTATTATTTACTGTTATATATATTACTATTATATACTATATATGTATATTATTATTATATGCTGTTATATATATATTACTATTATATACTATTATATGTATATTACTATTATATACTATTATATATATATATATTATATGCTGTTATATATATATTACTATTATATGTATATTACTATTATATACTATTATATGTATATTACTATTATATACTATTATATGTATATTACTATTATTTACTATTATATGTATATTACTATTATATATATATTACTATTATATACTATTATGTGTATATATATATATATATATATATATATATATATTACTATCATATACTATTAGATGTATATTACTATTATATACTATTATATATATATATTACTGTTACAGGCGAGAAGTACGGGAAAGAAATAGAACTTAGGGTTACATCTAGTTATTTCAACAGTAAAACAATGAGACTTAACTGCCAATTTTGAAGTACGCTTAAATTTATGAAGCTGAGATAGCGAGGGGAGTACATTAGCACAATGAAAAGATTTCTAGAAAAGACTGCAGGAAGTGACGTCACGGCGGTTGGAAAGTGACTGAAGTTGAGATGCAAGAACAGAGCCGATAACATTACAGATTCTTGTATTGTCGATGTGAATGATACACAGAGAAGAATGAGTGCTTAATATATTTATTCAGCACCGGTATCCGCTGCTAACGGATACATGCAAAAAACACAGAACAATAAGTCACAAAACAATTAACAAGACAACTTACAAGGGATAGAAGAGGGTCAAATGATGTATAGACAAACGAAATAAGATCATCCCGAATATGAATCAGCTTAGTATCAAATTATTAATCAACTATTGAAGTCCTTAATCGGAGACTAAGGCTATTAGCCAGGCTATCTGGTAGAATGCTGAAGGGGTGCTAGCTATTCTAAAAGAAACAGATCCTTCTTTGAATTTTGACCAGATATACAATAGGAGCTGCATTGTTGGTGGGGGGGTCATCGTTTTCCTTAGATGTGAGAAAGTAAATGCTCTTATTGGCATTACATATTCAATTGTCTTATTTATCACTAGCAGCATGGCCCGGCGTTGCCCGTGCTTGATTCAAAAATCGTACGACTCATACAGCAATCGCTATCACTTGACTTAAAATATTTTTGCTCTTCCTTGCCTTTAAAGGAGTGCCATTTGCCGTGTTGATGTTGCTACATGCCTTACTTCTTGCCTATCTCAAACTGCGATTTTTTTCTAAGCTCTATACTAAACATTAAATCTGTTACGAAAAAAGAACTAAACAAAATGAACAAAAAAAGATCAGCTTTAAAAAAGGACTCGTAACTGGAAAAACCGAATGAAAAAAGAATGTTAACAACAAATACTTTTTCACACTCAACCAAGATCTGTGGAATCAGAATCAACGTTGAGTTTAAACAAGCGAATGAGCCAATTGGAGTAAAGTGCCATGCAGATTTAAATTTTTCCCACTTGTGAAGAATGTAACTATCGATTTTTTTTTTGCATGCTAGCATGCTAGTTAACATTCGTGTCAGTCAGCTGTTTGCTCTCACGTTGGCCAATAAAATCCTCCTGATTATTCGTCGCAGCCAACTATTGGCTCTCACGCTAACTTGGAGCATGCGCATGTAAATTTTGGTGCAAATCTGTCGAAAATTGTGGCCGTGCATTTGTTACACACACACACACACACACACACACACACACACACACACACATCCTGCCTTTTATAGATAGAAATCATTTGTCGAACACTTTTCGCTCGTATCCAACAAATTAAAAACTTTTAAAACGCTTAGAAAGTAATCAGTGACATATCAGCTTTGGTAATGGCGGAAGATGCAACCGGAAGTAAATGATTTACAGTAATGGCTATTAAATAGTGACCTAATTATATTCTCTTTAATTATTCTACCATCAGTTTTGTTTATTGGGAAGAGATTTTGTGATAGTGATAAGAAGAGTAAGTATTTAGACTTTTCATTATAATTAATAAATCCCATGTTATATATGGACTACTCTCTAATACATCAATTGATATGGTGACAAGTTTTAATTGAACCAAGAGAATAATTCAATTATCTTTAAATTCCTGAAAAAGGGTAAAAAATTTAAAGATATTTGTGTGTCTAAACGTTTTCCATTTCTATAGTTCTTTTGAAAAAGTCAAAATATTACACCGACCAAAGTGTTGCCAAGTAAATGAAAATGACATGAACGTAACTGTGTAAAAAAGGTTGACTTACTCAATGTCAAAGAATAAGAAAAAAAAGAGAAAAAGCAGAGGAATTAGGATGACAGTAGATAACGATTGCATTGGATTTCATTGAAGGTCAAAATTAGCAGGAAATCAAGAAGGAGGTAGAGAGTTCCACAAGCTCGAAGTACGAGAAAAGAAACTCTTAGCATAGAACTTACGGTTACATCTAGACAATTCAACTGTAATTTGATAAGACCTAGTTACTGCGCTTAAATTCATAAACGCCAGGTACTCTAGCGGAGAGGACACCCAAATAATTACCATAAAATTATTTAGAGAAATGACATAGTGGATCACTTTTAAGGTGGTGGGAATGTGACTGAAGACGAGATGCCAGGTCAGGACCAATAATATTACTGATTCTTCTTTGGATCTCATCAAAACTCTTTAAATGAGCACCGGTGAGATGTGGCAGCAATATTCAAAGAATGGACAAAGAGTAGACTAATAAATATGTAAGGTAGATTCTAAAAAACTGTCTAGCATGACACAGTGAACCAACTTTCTTAACCGCAGACCTAGCAATGGATTCAATATAATATTTCTATTATATAAGAATAAAGTGTCGCTGAGGACACTTGAGTTTGAACATAGATCGACAATGAGCAAACACAGGCGATT